AGTTTATCATTTGCCTTTATATTTTGTAATTGACATGCTGAAATACTGATTTTTTTATGCTGTGAAATCTATTATTTCTTACTGTTATAGTTGTTGTATTTCTTGTTACAATCAGACATGTCTTCCCTAGTTAAATATTACGTCATATTTACTTAAATTTTCTTCAAATAATTTTATGGTTTTGCTTTGTTACATTTAATTTTTTTAATCCATCTATAATTTATTTTAGAGTAAAGCATAAAGTGAGAATCTAATCCTATATTTTTCCAAAGCATTGATCAATTATTCCAGAACAAGTTTTCAACCAAATTGAAATGCTAATTTATTCAAATTATAAGTAATAATACATACCTGGGTCTATTGCTAGCATTCTGTTCTGTTTTGGTGCCAATAACAATAAAGTAATTATTCACATTAAAGGTATATATATTTTTTAAGTAACTGGTAATATTTGGCTATCTTCAAGTGTTTATTGTCTCAAAAGATTTAGAATTAATGAGTCAGATTCCAAATGCACATATTTGGCTTGTGGTTAAAGTTGCATTAGGTTTAACATCTTTAAAATACTGAGCCACTCCATTTATGTTATGCATCATCATTTATTCTAATCTCCTTTTATGCCTCCTACTAGAGTTTTATAGTTTTGCTTTTATAGCTCCTGTCATTTTTAAGTTTATTTCTAGATATTTTAAGTTAAAATTTTAAATAAGATTTTACGTTATAATTTAAAACTTTATTGCTCAATATTAAAAAGCTATTGACTTGTGTATTTATTGAATGCAACTGACAGTTTTTTCAGATGATTCTCTAGTTTTCTAGGACAAAATGTATATAATCCACAAAAAAATTGATAGTTTGGATTCCTTTCAATAGTTACAACTAACACATTTTTTCTTGACTCAGTACATCAGCTAAAACTTTGAAAACAATATTTAATGATTGTTGTAATACACAGTAATTTTTAATGTCACTTTGTCCTTAAAATAGAAAGTTGCTTGTTTGAAAGGGATTTTTTTTTAATTATTTATTTTGTATTATTATTTAAAGCAGTGATTCTCAACCAAGGGCTGAACTACCTTGTTAAGTAAGCTTGATTTAAAGGAAGTATCCTGTGGTCTTAATTTGCTGTTTATTCCAAGAATGGAAGCTGAATTTTATTAAATGTATTTCTGTTTTGCACCAAATTGATCATGTTCTTAATCTTTATATCTATTGTTTAGATAAACTAGATTAATGGATTATTTCATTTCAAACCACGCTTTTTACTTGAATAAGTCACACAATCATGGTTTTTTTTCTTCTAACAAATTACTGGATTTTGTTTGTTGCTGTTTTATTTAGGATTTTTGCATTTTATTTACACTTGGCTGTTGCCTCTGTTTTCTTTTGTTGAGTTATCTCTAGCAGCTGTTTTAAAAATTATTTTATGCTTGCTTTCTAAAATTAATTGGAAAGCTTCACATATTTTCCTAAGCTATGGAATAGATTATACAGCATTCAAGTATCTGATATTTGAATGATTGAAAGAACATGCCATAAATTTATCTGAGCCAAATGTATTCTTGGGGATAAATCTTTGATAACTTCATGTCTTTCATTATTATTGGGTCTTCCAGTTTTATTCTTCTTTAGCCAATTATGATAATTTATATTCCTATATATAATTTATTTTTTTAATTTCAAAATGTCACTATATAGATATACACATTTTTATATTACAATTTTAATCTTTTCAGTATCTGTTATATTTGAATTCTCATTTCTAATTTTACATATTGTTTTCTTTGTATGATTAAAGATAATAGAGATTAAACCAGTATCTCTAAAAAAAGAATTCAAGTCTACCAATTTTCTACTTTCTAATTCACCAGTTTCTGCCTTTATCATGCACCAATTGGTTTCATTAGACTTATTGATCATTTTGGTTCTGCTTTCTCAAATTGACAGCTTAGTTTGCATATTTTTGTACTTTCTTCTTCAATGATGAAAGCATTTAATGCGATGGCCTGTTTGGCCATGTCTCATGCAATACTCTCATTATTGTTATTTCCCAAGTATTTTATTGACAAAGTTTTGATCTCCTCTTTGACATACAAGTTATTTAGGAGAAGGTTTATTTTTTATTTTCTTTAATCTTTCAAGAGACTAAGATTGTTGGTTAGGATGTTGTTTTAATCTCTACATTTATTTTATTGTGATCATATTCTATATCATTTCTGTTTATTAAAATTTATTAAGGTTTTAATCATATATATTCTGGGGTGAAGATATATATATATACACACATATATATATATATACACACACACACACAAATTAAATTGCCTTTATTATATTATTCATGTTTTCTTTATCATTTTTAATCTAATTTGCAAAAACCGAAAGAGTTAAGTAAATGTCTTTCATTACTATTTTTGTTTCTGTTAATTTCCCCATATATTTCTTAGAGATTTACTTTATATATTTTTATATTATTTTATCTGGTGTAAAACTTTCCTGACTATTGGCATCTTACTAAAGATTGAAGTCTTTATTACTATAAAATGTATTTATTGGACCGATTTTATACATTTATTGTGTTACTTACCTTTCTTGTGAATAATTTGGAGGCTCTTGCTTTCATTTTGTTGATATTTCAATTATTTGTTTTATCTAATGCTTAATTAAAAATTTTTTCTGAATTGGTTTTAAGTTTTCCTCTGGTAAAAAAGTTAGATTACATTTTATTATCGAATTTTTTTTCCATATAGTGTCATTTTTAACAAGCATATTTTCTTGTTATAAATCGCAGACTTATTCTTACTTTCCTACTTCTACTGTCTTTTTACAAGTTTTTTGTTATTTTTGTTCTCTTACTATTTCATTTTCTTCTTTTTTTATATTTTACTATTTATTTTATGGTTTCTTTCATTCATCTTTTTCTCTGGTGATTTGGAAAGTATATATCCTATTTTAAATTCTGATAGAATTAACTCATATTTGCATATTTACTTCCTATGGCACTCTTACGTCCCATCTCCAGTTTCCTATGGCTATAGTCCCAGATTTTAAACCCAGATTTTTATGTGAGAATTATGGACTATGATGATTAGTTTATGTGTCAACTTGGCTAGGATACAGTTCCTGGTTATTCAATCAAAAACTAAGGTAGGTGCTGCTGAGAAGGTATTTTGTAAATGTGATTAACATCTACAATCAGTTGACTTTAAGTAAAGATTACCCTCAATAATGTGGGTGGGACTCATCAATCAGCCGGAAGGCCTTAAAAGCAAAATTGAGGTTTCCCCAAGGAAGAAATTCTGTATCAAGACTGAAACATTAGATCCTGCTCAAGACTTTGCAGCCTGCCAGCCTGCCCTACAGATTTTGAACTTACCAACCCCTATAAGCATGTAAGCCAATTCCTTGAAATATATCTCTTCATATATACTACATATATTAATATATACTATTTATATAATATATGATATATATATATATATATATATACCAGTATGATATATACATATGCATATGTATACACAACCTACTGGTTATATATTTTTTATATACATAGAACTCTGTCTAATATATTAACTTTACAAATTTTACATAATTTCGTTTACAAGAACAATTAGAATTTGTCTTATTTTAATAACCATATTTACAGTATTATATTTAACTTATTTCAGTGCTTACTTTTAATATATATGCTTTATGTGCCTTTATATTATTCCTGAATTTATTCTTATTCTCCCATTTTAGATTCAGTTTAATCTCTATTAGAACATTTTTTTGCTTTTTTTTTTAGTTTTACAATGCAAAAGATATCTTTTGTTTGCTTTCACATGTGAATGGCATCATAGCAGGGTGTCCAATTCTTTGGTCATAATCTTTTTTTTCCTCTAAAGGTTTATAGATTTTGCACCACTATCTTCCTACATTCAATGGTGTAGAAAATTCTAAGGCTAGCAAGTTTTATGCGCCTTCTTGTTTTTCTCTTGCTTTTTTCACTGCTTTTCTTGTTGTGAGGAAATGCAGCAATCATTATTCTTTTTTTTTTTTTTTTTTGTGAGGAAGAGTAGCCATAAACTAACATCCGATGCCAATCTCCCTATTTTTGCTGAGGAAGACTGGCCCTGGGTTAACATCTGTGCCCATTTTCCTCTATTTTATATGGGACACCGCCACAGCATGGCTTGACAAGCAGTGCATCAGTCTGCACCCAGGATCCGAACCTGTGAACCCCCCGGCCGCTGACGTGGAGTGCGCGAACTTAACCACTACACCACTGGGCCAGACCCTAGCAATCACTATTTTTGATATTACTCTGTTCAAATTAAATGTAATTACTCCTTGGTTTGCTATATGTATTTCAAGTATAGTTTTCATGATTCTTTCTGTTGTGGTTATGCTGGGCTCTTATTAAAAACAGCAATTACCTATATGTACTTTCTATATTCTGTTCTCTATTTCTAATACTTTCTCTTTTACTATTTTTATCTTCCAATCTTGTCTTCTGCATTCAGGTAGATTCTATCAGTTTGTTCTTCATATTGCCTATTCACTTTGAGACAGTGGTGATTTCATTCTTTACTGCCTCCAATGTATTATGAACTGTTATCGTGTCTTAAATTCCATAAGATTCTTCATATGCTTCGTCTCTTTCCTATCTTATTTCTGTCTATCTCTTAACCAGCTACCATTTCAACTCAGACTATTGTGGTCTCACCTCATACTTCATCAATCTCATAGAATTCATATTTTAGGATTTATTTACAGCAGTAAACATGTATTATCTAAAATTTACTCCTTAAATAAATGATATTCCACCCCTGCCTCTCACTTGTTTTGTTCTCCTTCTATTAAGTTACAGAGCTTTCTAAAATCCCTTATTTTTCCATTTGTTCATCCTTGAATTATGACTATTAATCTAAAATTTAATTTCATAACACAATAAAACCTCAAGGAGAAGGAAACAAAACAAAAAAGTACATCCCTCATTTACTCTCATTCCTTACCTCTCATTGCCTGATGCGATGTCAGCCCCAAGATGTGTCCAGGATTTCTTAGGATAAGCACTGTGAAGCTGAACTTTCCCATAAACCCCTGAAAATGAAAGGAACAATGGTGGGATAGGAAAATTCTTTGGAGGAATTAAGGCTACATACATAGAACTTATTATAGAGGTTATTGTGCAAAATATGTGGTAAAGAAACTATATATGAAGATGTCTACCTTATCAGAAAAAGAATATTTAAGTACTCAATTTTCAGCAGGTCAAATGTATCTCATATGAGTCTGAAACCTATTCTCTCAAAAGCTATAGAGAAATGATGCTACCCCACATCTAGTAATCCAAAAGCTGGGAAATAGACGACTCTGATGGCTAACTAGTTCTATTTCCACCATTAAGTAACTCCAAACCATTTGCAATTCTGTCGAAGGTTAACTGGTTTTGATGTTTTATGTTATACAATAGATTTTCCAAGGCAAGGGTAATTTTATTTCCTGAGGAAAGTGATTTGGTGCTATTAGCTTTGTTTTCAGTGGTTGGACCTCATATTTTGTTGTATTACAGATATCAAAGGATAGCTCTTTAGCTCCTTTGTTTCAAAATATAATTTATTTCAGACTCATAAATTAAAGTCTTACCAGGGACATGCTTGATGCAGTCCAGTTTTATTCCTTCAGGTCTTTCCTCTTACATGTTTTACTGCCATTTAAAATTCCTCATATTGCAGTAGTCCAAAAATGTTTTGAGCAGGAACCCAAATAGTAACAAAATGAGGATTATGCACTCCTAATGCTTGTATATTTATTTATTTTTAGATAAGATAAATATACATGTATATGAATATATTCGTATATGTTTGAATAGAAGTTCTAGTATTTTCTTCCTGCATCCAAATGGATTGTCTGCATACCCAAGATTGATACACTCCATTCTGCTGCAAATCACTAATCTTGAAATCTAAAGATTTCACAATTTTTAGCAGAAAAGTGTACAAGTAAAAGAAGCAAACATCAGTAAGGCACAAATAACATGCCTTGGATTTTCACACATTGTGAATCCAAACAGCCTCATTTAATTATAACCTAACCAACTGTTTACATCAACATCCATATGTTTTTCCATATTCTAATTCAGAAAAAAGTCAGAAGATAATAAAACTAAAATCAGGATTAATGGAAATGTAAAAAATACTCTCACTTTCAGGACATGCCCTGGAATCAATCTTTTATAATAATAGTCATATATATATATAAGTTTCATAAGATATCAGCATCATCACCATAAACAAATTCCATCTTTTTCACTATTGACTAAGTAAGCTAAGCAGGGGAGAAACATGAAGTAATTTAGAGAAATTTCCAACAACAAAGATTTTAACAAAAACCAATTTATTTCCTTAAATTTGAATTATCCAGAAAATTTAATTGACCAGAAAAGCAGATTTCTTGATCATTCCCAATCATCAAAGGTTTACTGTAAAATGACACCATCCCTTAGTTCTTTCAAGGAGATTATAATACTTAGATTAAAATCTGTCATTTACTTATGCTACTACAAAATTTTAAGCATATAATGAAACAAATATTTTATCTCTTATTCAATTTTGTATCAGAAACAATTTCAAAAGCACTAGTTTGGTCATATGGCTGGAGTCAGTGTTCAAGATAGGCATCCTTGTATACCCCTAACACAAAATTTAATCCAATGTGGCCCTCCAAGGAACAGAGTAGACACCACAGGAAAAAAGAGACAGAATGTTCCTGTTATGATCCATCAAGTTTGTCAACTTGAAAAAATTTAAAAATTCTTGAACTTCATATTCTTAAAAAGATAAAGCAAATATCATGAATGAAAAGTGCTTTGGAAACAATAAAGCACTATCAAAGTATCATATGGCAATGGTTATACAATATGGAACTAGGTTACCAAACTTCAGACCACCCTAACATGATTGTTTCCATTTTACTGAGTCACTGGGATCTTATAAAATTAGTAACGCCATACAGAGAAAGTGAGAAAATACCAGAAATCTGATAAACAGCTTCTTATACCTATCCTTTAAAACTGAGTTATTGTGTGGCTCTTACATCATGGTTGTACAAGGCCAGGCTCAGGTTCTGTGCTCTTATGTAGACCAAGTTTACAATAAGATTTGGTATTACAAATGCAAAAACTCTCAACAGCGAATGTTTCTTAGTAATCTATAGATCTATCAGTTTAAAAATTTTATCAATAACCACATAGTATTTATAACTGATAACATAGACTCTTAGTCCAGACTTTGGTGTCTGATCAATTCAGATATAAATCTAAGTTCTGACCCTATAAAGCTGTATGGCCTTCTGCCTATTGCTTATCTCTGAGTCTTAGTTTTTACATCTGTAAAATGGACCCTGCTTATAGGAGAGATGATAAGTGAAATGATAAACATAAATTATCTAGTGCCTGGAATTTAGTAGATGTTCTTCAAATGGTACTTCTCTATCAGGCACACAAACACACACACACACACACACACACACACAGACACACATTTCCTTTTTAATACAAGCTATATTTTACTCTTACCAATTGTTCCTGGATCAATACGAATTCCACTGAAACGGTCACAGAAGACTCCCTCTGAGGCTCTAAGGAGAATCAGAAGCGTTTGTTCTTTTTCTAAGGGATTTTCTAAAGTACCTGTTTACAAAGAAAAGCATATCATTTAAAAATTAATTTGAAATTAAAAGAGAGAGAGAGAGAGAAATTGTCATTTAATTGCAGGAATGTAAATTAGATGCTATGAAGTAAACTCTATACAAAAGAGACAATGGTCACATAGATGAAACAGAAATAGTGGGAAAAAACGAGATGCAGTAAACCTCTCTGAGGGAGATTGGATTACTATTCAGCAAATACTTACTCTTCATTCTGCATTAGGACGGAGTATACTTTTCTGACCTACTGATAGTTAGCCTGCTCATATGACTCATTTGGCCAATGAAATTTGGGTATAAGTGATAGTAATGCCAGTTCTGAGTTAATGCTTTAAGTTGCTTGGCAGTTTTCACCAGATCGCTTACAATGATGTCCTCTGCCATAAAAGGAGAATGCTTTAAATAACCTCTACTGCCTGAATGAAGAGCAGATCTGAATTGAACACACAAGTCGGAAGCAATTCCAACTGAGTCTAGCATAAATATCTGTTGTTGTAAGCCACTGAAATTTGGGGATTGTTACACACCGTTATTACAGCAAAACCTGGCTGAGAACATTGTCTGGATCACTGGCTGGATCCCCAAATTTCTTTACATGCATTTTGCATTTAATTCTCACAAAAATCCTGAGAAGTAAGTATGATTCTTATTTCAATTTTAAACATTCATACATAATGAGACTTAGAGGTTGAGGGACTTGTCCAAATTTATCCAGCTAGTAAATAACAGACTCTGAATTTGAACAATGGTCTGTTTATGCTAAGTGTTTTATTGAACAAGTAACAGGTTATTTTCTAAGCCTAAATTCTTTCAGCAGCATAAGAACCCAATCCATTCAGGCTATGATACTCATACAGCAGTTGGGAATTACTGGTGACCCTATTCTGTTGATGTCAACAGCAGTTTGGTCACTTTTACAGTATGAGAATTGTTTGGGGAATTTGCTGAAACAGTGCTGGTGAGTATGGACCTAATGAAGGTTATTTTCTTCAGAAAATATATCTTAGAGTCCAGAAAATATTACAAAGACTCAGTTTTTCAAGAAGCGACTGGTGAAAAGATAGTCTCCAAACTCTATACTGAATCAAACAAGTTCACACAAAAGAATCTGCTATCAAATGAGACTTTCCAGTTTAGAAATTCCTGAAAACATAACCAAACATGAAGTTGCCGAATACAGTATGAAGTAGATGGTAAACTTAAAGTTGCCTGGTTGTTAATTTAGTTAAGTGACCCTTCAGGGGGCATAAATCATGCTCCCCGGTTGGCACACCATATACACCTGCTTAGCCAAAAGGCTCCAGGTGAGTTTGCAGCTTGCTGCATACCTGTTTTCATAGGCCAGGCTTCACAGCCATTAGTCTAGAAGGGACTGCTGAAAGTAAGACTCAGAGAGGTAAGCAAATCTGCCTAGTCACACAGTAGGAAGGCAAGGATTAGATCCTACAGCCTGTGTTCCCAGCAAGACACTGAGGTATGCTGCTGCTCCGTGTAGGTAATGCTAACCCTCAGCTGAGCGACTCACGTCTCCTCTTAGCCAAAACCAAGATATGCTAGAGCAGAAAAAAGAGACGCAGGGGAAGGGGAGAATGTTAAGAAAATGTGTGTGGTGTTGTTCTTATCTTGCGGTCAGAAGTCTGTCCAGTAAGCTGTTTTCCAACTGTGATTTCATTTATTTCACGGAGGGTAGTTTAGATTCTTGAGGAAAAAAATGGCCTAGCACTAAACAGAAAAAAGTAGGACAGTTTTTGCCCTAGAGAAATGTATGCAAAGTCCCGCAAACAGAGTTCAGTGTTCCTCTACAATCAGAGATTAAATCAATTATGCAACCCAAAACAGCGGCACGTGTGGAGCTTTCGCCGAAAGTCTGGGCGAAATTAGTCAGCCTGCCGTGATCTTGCGGTATCTGAAATGACCCGAGTTTGGATTCTTTCCTGAGAGGTGGGGGAAGGGAAAGATGGAGGATAGAGACTGAGTAGAAAGCAGGCAAGAGTGACCTAAGAGAAGGAAATATATGCTATTTTAACACTAAAGTGTGCATCTCGAATTCGTAAAAGCTGGTGAATGGAAAGCCCTAGAGGCTGGCTCCCCGTTTTATTCTCCAAGCTAGCAATCGAGAAAGGGGAGGTGCTCTACCAGCTTGGGCTTTGTCCCTAAACGAGAGTAGCCACCTCAGAGAGGGCTCTCAGGATAATGCAGTTCCTCTCTGGTTTTCCTTCTTGAAGCTGCATCGAGCTGCTCTCAGCTGTCACCAAAGACGTTTTCAACCTGGATGAATTTCGATACTCATAATGGAGGGAAAATCCTTGTCATTGTGCTGCCAAGACATGCCAGGTGTTTTTGCATACGTGATTTCATTCAATTCTCACGACTCTATGATGGATATTGTTGAGGTTCTCATGGGGAAACTGAGACAGAGAGAGGTTAACCAACCTGTCGGCAATTACACGGCTAATAAGTGGTAAAGCTGGGTTGAGTACTTAATAAGTCATGTAATTAGTGACTTAATAAGTATCGTCCTAGGACACGTGGACATAGAGGAATAGGAAAGAAGCAAAGGGAAGTCACTATTAGGCAATGCAGGGGAAACAGAGTATGTTCCAGATGCTCAAGTCACCCGGGGAGGTGGAAGAAAATAAGTTCTGGTATATGAAAGATAACCATTACAATGATTTCAGGAATATGGTATAAATGGAGTCTACGAACTTCAAAGGTAAGAAGAAAGGAAAAGGACCTTATGTTATTTTATTAACTAAACGTCTTTGATGGAATCAAGTATAAACCTCATTTACACTTCAGCCCACTCTCTCAACATGACTCCCCACACCCCGTAGCTGAGCCAACCCATGCTGAATTACTCACCATTCCCTCCACTCCCTCTCCTCTATCCACATGAGATTCCTCAGGCTTTTATATCCCTCACCTTCATCCTAATTCCTAATCGTCCTTCAAAACTTGGCTCCACTGTCCCATTTATTTCTAAAAGCCTTCTATGATCTTGAATAAGATATCCCCTTTTGTGTATAAAATGCCCGTGCCCCTTGCTGCAGTAATTCTCCTTCAAGGAACTTGTTTTTAAGAAACAGTATGGAATACGAACAACGATTAATGCCAGAAGTTCTTCACTGTGGTGTTATCTACTTATAACAGCAAATATTTGAAAATGCTTCAGAATAGCAAATAATTGGAAACGCCTTTGCCCACTTAGAATCCCTTCCTTTTCCCCCAGTTTCCTTGACCTGCTCAGTAGCTGAACCTCACCAGTCCCCAGACAAGCCCAAACCCAGCTCAGACGCCACCTCTTCTGGGATCCTTCCCTGTCAATCAAGTCTGGGTTAAGTGGTCCCCTACAGGCTATGACAGCATACCATGTTTTACTTCAATACTTCTAAAACGGTTCTGTGCCTCTTACCCGGCTGCCTCCTCCTCTCAACAGTGGGCTAATTGTTGTTAGCCTCTCAATTATCAACAATTGACATCATATTAAAATAAAAGTTAATATATAATTTATTCATTCACATACTTGCAAAACGTATACAAATCCTTAAAACTTCATAAATAAGGTTGAGTTAATTCACTTCTATGAGCCTCGGTTTCCACAACGATAAAATAGCATGCTAATAGCGTCCATTTTTTGTGTGGGTTAAATGATTTAGCACATGTTAATGACACATGGCACAGTGTCCACATTTAATATAGGCTTTTAAAAATGTTGGCTCAGTAGTAATAATAGTAAAAAATAGTACTAGTAACAATGGAGAAATGAAACATTTCAAAATTAACATTTAAATTTGGAAATTAAGAAAAAGAAGGCAAGCTCTTTCTAGCAAGTAATGTCCTATTACTAAAGCACTAGAAACTAGACATTTCAAAGGTAAAAATATTAGATGATCACTTATTTGAATACGCAGTCCAAGGAACTGCAGGGAATACAATTAAATTCCTCTCAAACAAAGAGTTTTCTAACCAAGAAAACAAATTATTCATTCATTCACTTATTCACCTGTTTGTTCAAAATTATTTAGTTTTTCCATGCAAAAATAATCAATTAATTAATATTTAATAATTATTTTATTATATAATTAATTATTTAATAATTTTAGAATAATAAATAAATTTCTAAGGAATTTTATGTTTCCGTGATAGAAGTTCGAGTCCAAAATATAGTTTGAGAAATACTGATTTAGAAAATCTTTAAGGAAAGATGATTACTGTAAATACATTTAGTAGAGACTAACTAAAAGCCCAACAAGACAGAAGAATCATTTCTTGTATCAGTGTTTTGCTTAAAAATACATACATATGTTTAAGGATAATGTGATGTTTATCTGTTAGGAAATCAACATTCATCAGAAAATAAACAGATATTTCTGTGCTTAGTCTCATTTTGAAATATGTGTTATTTAACTGTTGGCTGCCAAGGGCTTATAGAAATGGAGTTCAGTATTCCCTGAGCCTGCAAAGAACAAAGCTTTTACGTTTTTGCCCTTATAGTTAAATGAGTACAATATTTAAAAGTCACATCCCTTTGATGTCACCTTTTTATTTTATCAGCTAACTAGTAGTTTGATCAGGGAACTGTCAGTGTAAATAGAAACTGGCTTGTTGACTGATGATCCATATCAGCTAATTTATAAACCATTTATTTGGCAGATATCTATGTGCACTTATATTTACACATTATATGTGTCGTTATTTGTACTATTTTCTAACCATAGTTAACCTAGAAAGAGGATATATGTGTGTGTGTATATATATATATTATTTTTTTACTTAATATATTATTTTTAAACAAACACCATCACAAGATTCTCTCTGGCTACTCAATGAGTCTGACTACTGGGTATTGTGGCTTTAGGCTGGAGGATATGTTTTAATCTACACTTTTCTCTGGTTTGTCTCCTTCTTATTACTTAATCATCCAATGAGCCTTACAGAACTGTCAGTTTGGAAGGCAATAAACTGTGTATGGATTTTTCTTCT